GAACCCAGGATGCAGCGGTTGCAGTGAGCCGAGATCTCACCGCTGCACTCCAGCCTGGGTGACACAGCAAGACTCTGTCTCAAAAAAAAAAAAGGTCAATTTCATTTTCCATTGCCTCTGAGGTGCTTTCCAAGTTTTCCTAACCTTGAATATGACGGTGCAGGATCTGAGGGGCTGGGGCAGTAAGTACTTTCTCATGTAGTTCTGGTGAGTCAGTGTTAACATTATATTTATCGTTTACGGGGTTTTGATTACAGTCTGGAAGTACAAAGGAGGAAGACAAACTAGTTTGCAAAATAAAATCAATAAAATAAAAATAGCTCCATGTAGAAGACTTCCTCTGGATGTCGCTGGATTTGTGCTTTATAAAGGTCTTTCTTTGGTTGAGAGGATAGAAGAGCAGTGTCTAAATATACCAGAGGAGAGCTATGGAAACAGAGGATAAGACAGGAGAATCAGCTAAAAAAAAATCCCCACAAGTATCTCATTTGCATGCGCTGCCATGGAACATGCTTTTGTTCCAAGTATGTAGGATTTTTTCTCCAAGTGGATATGAATTAGAGAGCATTTTTTCAGTGTCTGGGAGGCAAATGAGGAAAGAGGGGGAAATGGGCATTTTGTTTTCATTTTGTCTGAGGCACACAGGGATGATTGCTAAGAGTTACCAGTGGGTTTGCACAAATGTGAGAGCTTTTGGATAGCGGTGTTATTGGACTGCTATTCACTATTCAGAGGTTCACAACTTCTCCACCTTTTTGGGTTGTAGAACTTCTGTAAGAAGTCAAATTAAGCTCAGTCAAATTAAGTCAATTTAAATTAAATTAAAGCTCCTTGGGAGCTTTCCCTGACTTTCTTCCTGTCTCATTGTGTTTTTTTAAGCTCCACAGTGGTTTATATGTACATCCTTTGTGCTGTTTATCATGGTGATTATTTTTTGGTAACTAACACTGTGTCCTCTTCTTGCAGGTAGTGCTGTATGTTGCTCTTTATATATCCAGGATCTAGCAGGGCACCTGGCCCATAGGCTCTCAATAAATCCTGGTGAATGGATGGAAGGTGGAATGGATCCTAACTTCATTCTCTCCTGAATTCTTTCTACAGCAATTCCATCAGCTGTCCCGGAGGTTAAGGAATCAAAGCCTTACATGACCAAGATTAGGAAATTATACAGGAACAGGACTAACAGGAGAACAAGACACGCTCCAAACTCTCCCTCCAGTCTAAGGCAAGGGAATGATTTCTCTACAGAAGCTGGACTTCCCCTAAAAGTGTTTAACCTTCCTCAGTTTCCTTATCTGCAAAGTTAGGAGGATAATAGAACCTCCCTTATAGGATGGCTGTGAAAATTCAATGGGATTATTCCCATGACACAGTCAGCATCATGCCTGGGCACTTAGTAAGTACTCAGTAAATCTGAGATATTATTAGCTGCTCTAGAACTAAGATCTGTGTAAAACACCAAGGATAGCTTTTTTATAAATATCTATTTTATTTTGTTTTTCTTTTCTTTCTTTAATCCTTCAACTTTCTTTTATCCTTATAGCTTTAAAAATCATTTTTTTAAAAGCATAAAAGTAACATTATGGCGGAGCTCAATGCTTCCTGTTCCAGGCAGCCTTCCCTGCTTGCCACCCAATGTTGTAAAATTGACCTTTCTTTTTTGCCCCAACATTGTCTGCGCCATAAAGCACTTATTAACTAACATCCACTGTAACGTTTCCCACACCCAACTCAATCTGTGCAAAGGGATGCCGCGTTGACTATATCCTCTGTAGTTTTCTGGAATGTGAAGCTTCGTTTCTCCTGCTTTGGCTCCTCCTGTGATCTAGAAGCAGGGCTTAGTGTTCAGGGAGGAGGCTGCATGTGGCCAGGAAGACCCTGGCCAGGGGTTAAGAAACCCACATTCCAGCCGGTTGAGGATTGGACTCTTCTATCTCTATGAAACGGGTAATGATGTCTCTTTTCCTAAGTCAGGTGGCAGAGAGGTTTAAATGAGATAAACCTCATTTACGCGTTTGTGAATTAAACACCATTAAAGTATATTATTCTCAGTAGATATTGGAGACTCGGAAGAGTGGGAGGGTGGGCGGCGGGTGAGGGATGAGAAATCACCTAATGGGTACAATGTACATTAGTATTCAGATACATTCGAAGCCTAGACGTCACTACATAATATATTTGTGTAACAAAACTGCACTTGTACCTTACACACTTATGCCAAAAAAAGTCGATTATTCTCATTATTTCTGTTAAATGGGAACTTCTGTCAGCGGGCTGACTCTTCCAAGTGTCAATGTGCTCCATGCCTGTGGAGTTCTCCTGGTCAGTTTTGGGTGTTGTATTGATTTTTAGGATTTAATTCCACCTTGGTTTGAAAACACCCACCAGGCCTCTGGGATTCTGGTGGCACACTTTGTGGGAAGTCCCTTCCAAAGCTGTAGCTGACGCTTGAGGGGCCCTCGGCTCCCACCCTTTTGTTATCTAATGCTGTTCTCTTTGGCTGAAATGACTCCTTATTTTCAAAACCACAAGAAAAGTGAAAAGACCTACTATTCCCTGGACCCCTGCTTTATGTGAAAGGTTAGAGCTTCATCTCAGCCAGGCACAGTGGCACATGTCTGCCATCCCAGCACCTTGGGCTGACATCAGGGGTATGAGACTGGCCAACATGCCAAAGCCCCATCTCTACTAAAAACACAAAAATTAGCTGGGTGTAGTGGCACGTGTCTGTCGTCCCAGCTGTTCAGAAGGCTGAGGCAGAAGAATCGCTTGAACCCAGGAGGTGGAGGCTGCAGCGAGCCAAGACCGAACCACTGCACTCCAGCCTGGGCAACAGAGTGAGACTCCAACTCAAAAACAAAAAAGAACAGTGGGGGAAGGAGGCATGTGGGAAGTAAAGGTTTGTGTGTGTGTTTGATTTTTATTAACTTCTAAGCCTGTTTACACCTTAAGAGGAAAGTGTGGGTTCTTTTCTCCCCTGCAAGCTTGATATAGGATTTCTTCTTGGCCTTTATCAACTCAAAATACTTCCCAATTCTACGGCCTATGAATTGCAAAAGTGGGTAAGTCACTGAGGAATGAGATGGGTGTATAGCAAGATATGTTTATTTAAATGGTATTTTAATATATACATTTCAAGCTTATTATTTTCTCCTGGATTTTTTTTTTTTTTTGACATGGAGTCTCACTCAGACTGGAGTGCAGTGTTGTGATCTCAGCTCACTGCAACCTCCGCCTCCCGGGTTCAAGAGATTCTCCTGCCTCAGCCTCCTGAGTAGCTAGAACTACAGGCGAGCACCACCATGCCCTGCTAATTTTTGTATTTTTAGTAGAGACGGGGTTTCACCATGTTGGTCAGGCTGGTCTCAAACTCCTGACCTCAGGTGATCTACCCGCCTCAGCCTCCCAAAGTGCTGCGATTACAGGCATGAGCCACAGTGCCCAGCCTATTTTCTCCTGGATATTTTTATTTGCAAGTAAAACAATGTGCAGACCTGTTTCACAACTTGTTCTTATATCTGTGATTGGAGAACCAGATGAGTAGAAAGCACTGAAAATCAGGATAGTTCTCTAACTCTGACTAAAGTTGTTGGGTGGGAGAAATCTGACGACATGAAAAGAAACCTTGCTGTTTCTTGTATCCATTGCTCCTTATAAAGCAGTAGCAGAAATATCCCACCAGGAATATTTTAAATCTGTGGGGCAAATTAGGCAATATCTGGACATTCATTGAAAATACTTAGGTCGGGTACAGTGGCTCACACCTGTAATCCCAGCGCTTTGGGAGGCCGAGGTGGGTGAATCACCTGAGGTCAGGAGTTCAAGACCAGCCTGGCCAACATTGTGAAACCCCATTTCTACCAAAAATACAAAAGGTAGCCGGCGTGGTGGCAGGCGCCTGTGATCCCAGCTACTCGGAAGGCTGAGGCACAAGAATCACTTGAACCTGGGAGGCGGAGGTTGCAGCGAGCCAAGATCATGCCACTGCCCTCCAGCCTGGCAACAGAAAGAGACCGTGTCTCAGATAAATAAGCAAATAAATATAAGAGCAAATTAAATTTTTAAAAAACCACTAGCAAAATAAAAACACAAAATAAGCAATTAAACCCAATTTCTTTCTTTCTTTCTTTTTTTAATATAAACTCTTGCTCTGTTGCCCAGGCTGAAATGCAGTGGTGAGATCGTGGCTCACTGTAGCCTTTACCTCCTAGGTTCAAGCAATTCTCCTGTCTCAGCCTCCTGAGTAGCTGGGATAAACCAAACTTCTTTCCCACTGTCAAGTGTCAATATTTTCTCTTTATAGATAACATATGCAAAACTGGGATTTGAATGGCAATTATTTACTGACAATCCTAGAACAAACTCCTCTGGACACACTCCCCTGGGTTTAGGAAATAAGCTGTAGCCAAGTGAAAAGCAATGATCTCAGAAGAAAGCTGAAAATGATTCAAAATGCATCTTCAGTGATGTCAGGAAAACATGTATTCATTGTTTTGGGCTTCACTCTGTTCTGAAATTAACAATGGTCAGCCCCATTATTCCCTCATTTAGGGCTCAGTTCTTACTCGGAAGCAACAAGAGGTTTTAGAGGTAGATTCCACCCATGGAGGACTAGAGGAGACTAGGGAGGATGCAGCCCTGATTTTCCTACCCAGCTGCAGTTCCCTCCCTGGGGGAAAGTGGTACATCTTGGAGGCTGTTTGTTCTTTTCTCTGAATGGTCCCAGGGCCCATCCCCAGGCCTTACAGCAGGAGAGTCACCTCCCCCTGCCTCATGACCAGCTCTACTGCCGGGAGCAATCACGCACAACAGTGCGTACCCAGGGGCTTCCAGGACCAGCTCCCCAACAAGACAGAAAACAAAAGCCTCAGACCGTTGCCACACATCTCCCTGAGGAACATGCTATGCCCCCTTAAATCATTGTTTTTCCGATGGGAGCCTCTCTAAATAAAAAATAAGTGATTGGGTTGGCAGACACAATCACTTGGATTGAAATTTACCTGTTTGAGCCACACATTGGTCGTCATCAGCTGATTCTTTTCATCCTAAGAAAATGACAATTTGAAAAGTACTGTAAATCAAAGTGAAAGCAAGTTGTGGTTTTTGTTGTTGTTTGAGAAATGGAGTCTCAAGATGCTGCCCAGGCTGGAGTGCCATGATGCCACCTTAGCTCACTGCAGCCTCACGCTCTGGGGCTCAAATGATCCTCCCGCCCCAATCCCCAAGGAGCTGGGACTATAGGTGCATGCCAACACACCCAGATGTTTTTTGTTTGTTTTTGATCAGAAAAATCTGAGTCTTACCTTTGAGGTGTTCCAAGTCCAAAAGATTCTCAATTTATTTTTTATTTTATTTTTTGAGACAGAGTCTCGCTCTGTCGCCCAGGCTGGAGTGCAGTGGCACAATCTCGGCTCACTGCAACGTCCACCTCCTGGGTTCAAGTGATTCTCCTGCCTCAACCTCCTGAGTAGCTGGGATTACAGATGCACACCACCACACCCAGCTAATTTTTTTGTATTTTTAGTAGAGACGGGGTTTCACCATGCTGGCCAGGCTGGTCTCAAACTCCTGACCTCAGGTGATCTATCTGCCTTGGCCTCCCAAAATTCTGGGATTACAAGCATGAGCCACTGCACCTGGCCTAAGATTCTCAATTTAAAACAGTCAAATGGCATGTAAACAGTCAAATAACTTGCAGATTTTGCTTAAAATGAAAAAGAACTAAAACAAGTAGCAGTTAATTGCATAACCCAGAAGGCACTTTAAAGGTGCAAAGTAGGCCAGGCACAGTGGCTCACACTTGTAATCTCAGTACTTTGGGAGGCCAAAGCTGGTGGATCACCTGAGGTCAAGAGTTCGAGACCAGCCTGTCCAACAAAGCAAAACCCTGTCTCTACTAAAAATACAAAAAATAGCTAGACATGATGGCATACGTTTGTAATCCCAGCTAGTCAGGAAGCTGAGGCAGGAGAATCACTTGAACCCAGGAGGCGGAGGTTGCAGTGAGCTGAGATCACACCGCTGCACATCAGCCTCAGTGAAAGAGCAAGTCTCTGTCTCAAAAAAATAAAAATAAAAAACGCCAGGAGCAGTGGCTCATGCCTATAATCCCAGCACTTTGGGAGGCCAAGGCGGGAGGGTCACCTGAGGTCAGGATTTCGAGACCAGCTTGGCCAACATGGTGAAACCCTGTCTCTACTAAAAATACAAAAAAATTAGCTGGGTGTGGTGATGTGTGCCTATAGTCCCAGCTACTCAGGAGGCTGAGGCAGGAGAATCACTTGAACCTGGGAGACAGAGGTTGCAGTGAGCTAAGATCTTTCTACTGCACTCCAGACTGGCAACAGAGTGAGACTCTGTCTCAAAAAATAAAATAAAATAAGAAGTAAATAGTAGCTAAATTGGAGATGGACTTTGCATGACTTTCTAGAAGGAATCCTGGGGTATTGAGCCAGCCAGCGCAGGTGAGTGTGCGCACATGTGTGTAGTGGGGTGGGAAATATGGGCAACATGAGAGGATTCTTCTGGGGCTTTGGGGACCGTAGCCGGACAATTTTGTTGCTTTAGGGAGTTGAAGTTCACTGATTTCTTCTAAGGACATAATCATGGCAGAAATGCAAGCTCAAAAGGAAAATCAGAATGCAAAGGCATGGGTGAGCTCAGGAGAGGTGACGGGGCCGCCTAGGGAGAGCCAGAACAGGCCTTGCTCTGGGCGCTGTTCTCACCACCCCGTCTCCCTGCAGACACCTCTGCCAGCCCAGGGCACAGCCAGGGAGGGTCGGCAATCACAGCACATCAGCCCCAGCCTCAGCCCCTCTTGTCTGCGGTTCCCAGCGCTCCTCCCTGGGTGTTCAGCAGCCAGGCCAGGGGCAGTGACTAATTTAGCAACCACATCCTCCCCCTGGCAAAAAGGTCCCACGCTAAAAGTGCTGCAATGAAAATTTACCCCATGATAACTTCTCGTTCTTTCCTCAGGGTCATTTCAGTGGCTTCTTGGGGGCAGATTTTCTCTCACAGTAAATTATTTTTAAAATTGAAATGTCAAACATAGGGAATAAAAAATATTTTAGACTCACAAACAGGTTAAGGAATGCATGTTCTTTTTAGCCACGTGCCAAGGATTACTCACCACATCTACGAGCTGGGATATTTTCAATCCAAAATATACTTTTATGGTGTCATTAGAATGCAATACAGGGCGGACCCATTTCTGATAACCTTGGAACAAATGTCTGAGGAGGGCGTCTTCATTTTCGGCAATTGAACTGAACCCTGCAGTGGCTGTAAAAGAATCGTGGGAGACCCGGGTTAGTGGGAGGGGCGTGATGCCTGGATGAGTGTCCCGTGGCATCCCGTGGCCCTGGCCTCCTGCACCGTAGGCTGTGTCTGTTTCTAAACAGCCCAGTTCCTGAAAGGCAGCTTGGAGTATACGAGGGTCTCCACGTCCACTCCCACCTCCCTCCAAACATGCACAGCTGAACACAGAATCCACATTTTACCCAGAGCTGCACTCTCTCACAAGATTTTCCCATCACAGGGTCAATACGCGGGCCCCAAAAGCTCCATCTGCAGCCACCCGACCCTCACCTTTGGTGCCATCTGCAATGCCCCTTCTTCGCAGACATGGGCGCTGCCCACAAGCTGTTCTCTGTACCTGAGTCTTGTTTTTCTCCAGCATCTCCCTTTGGAAGTCTTTTGTCTATTTGTCATGCCTGTCTCCCTCTGGAGCTCCCTCACAACAGGTGCAGTGGCCGTTGTATTTGATCGTGTTTACCTAACACCTAGAACAGGGCCTGGCTTAGAGTGGGTGTTCGTTTCATGTGTGTTAATAGATGTCAGAGTCGGCTTGTGCTCACTGAACACCAAGTGTGTGCCCCTCACGGTCCTCTTTGTCTTCTTCCCAAGGAAGTCTTCCCTTACAAAGTCCTTCCTTGGTCAGCAGCCAGGATGTCACACTCTGCCCAGTGCCTTACTGTGTGACAGTCTCAGAAACACCCAGTGTTAAGCTTTAACCCTCCAGTTGGGGAAATGGCTTAGGAATGCAGTCCCAAGAGAAAGTTTTATTTCCTTACAATGCACTGCTATCACATTTAAAACAAGGAAGCCCCTCCTTTATTTTATTTTATTTTATTTTTTTAGAAGGAGTCTCCCTCTGTCACCCAGACTGGAGTCAATGGCACATCTTGGCTCACTGCAACCTCCGCTACCTGGGGTCAAGCAATTCTCCTGCCTCAGCCTCCTAAGTAACTGAGACTACAGGCGCATGCCACCATGCCTGGTTAATTTTTGTATTTTTAGTAGAGATAGAGTTTCACCATATTGGCCAGGCTGGTCTCGAACCCCTGACCTTGTGATCCATCCACCTCGGCCTCCCAGAGCGCTGGGATTACAGGCATGAGCCACCGCACCTAGCCGGAAGCCCCCTCCTTTTTTTAAAAAAAAGATGGGGTATCACTGTGTTGCCCAGGCTGGAGTGCAGTCGCCATTCACACGTGCAGCTCCATTACTGATTAGCAGAGGGGCTTTAACCTGCCCCTCCTTGTATATTCAGCACGCGATTAATGCAACCCATTCTGCACCATGTCCTGACCATAGAAACCCTTTTTCTTCCCACTGAGAGACCCACGTGTTGGGTAATGATCTCATGAGAGACATGCCCCCAGGTTTGCCCAGTCAAAATGCAGGGATTCTTAACTAAGAAGAAAAGCAAAACAGTGCGGCTTCCCCTGTGTGCAGGAGGCTTCCGTATATACTTTCCTAAGAGAGGAGCAATTTCAGGTGCCTCATCCCAGCTCCATAGAGTGGACAGAGGCATGGGGGAGGTGGGCTGTGTGCTCTGAGGGTTCTGGGCCCCATTTCCTTCCGCTTAAAATGAGTAATAGGGAGAGATGCAACCTTACATTTGTGCTTATTTTTTAAAAAAACTGTGGGCCAGGGATCGTGGCTCACACCTGTAATCCCAGTACTTTGGGAGCCTGAGGTGGGAGGATTGTTTGAGCCCAGGAGTTGGAGAGCAGCCTAGGCAACATAGGGAGACCCTGTCTTTTTTTTTTTTTTTGAGATGGAGTCTTGCTCTGTTGCCCAGGCTGGAGTGCAGTGAAGTGATCTTGGCTCACTGCAACCACCACCTCCCTGGTTCAAGCAATTCTCTTGCCTCAGACTCCCAAGTAGCTGGGGTTACAGGTGCATACCACCATATCCAGCTAATTTTTGTATTTTTAGTAGAGATGTGGTCTCACTATGTTGGCCAGTATGGTCTCGATCTTTTGAACTAGTGATCTGCCCGCTTCAGCCTCCCAAAGTGCTGGGATTACAGCTGTGAGCCACTGCACCTGGTGACCCTGCCTGACAAATTTTAAAAAATTAGCCAGGCGTGGTGGCTCATCCCTATAGTCCCAGCTACTTGGGAAGCTGAGGTGGGAGAATCGTTTGAGTCCTGGAAGTCAACATGGCAGTGAATGGTGATTGCACCACCGCACTCCAGACTGGGTGACAGAGCAAGACCCTGTCTCAAAACATTTTTTTTTCTTTTTTCTTTTCTTTTCTTTTTTTTTTTTAAGACAGGGTTTCACCATGTTGGTCAGGCTGGTCTTGAACTCCCGACCTCAGGTGATCTGCCCGTGTCGGCCTCCCAAACTGCTGAGATTACAGGCGTGAGCCACCACGCCCAGCCAAAAAAATTTTTTAAGAAAGCAAAATAAACAAAAATGGATCTGTTTATTACTATTAGTACCAAGAGCAGCCCTGGGAGCAGCCAGCTGGGCAGCCGCCAGGGCATCCATCTGTAAAGATCTGGGAAACCTTCCTGGAAATGTACAGGGAGAGAATGGAGAGAAACCCCACAGCCTCTAGGGGGCGAGGTGGGCATTTGCTCAGGGGGACGTTCCTGAAGTCATCTTTGACTCCTTTCTTTTTCTTCCAACCCACAACGGGTCCTAACATCCTTCAGCCTGCATCCCAGTCCTGCTTGCTCCACACTGTCTCCACCGGGGCCACGCTGAGAACACAGATGCTCTCTCTGGGACTCATGCACCGCTTCCTAATTGTTTCCACTTTTGACCTTTCCACAGTCCATTCCCCACACAGCAGCAGGAGAGGATGATGTCAGTTCCCTGCTAAGCCCTCCAGATGGTTGCCCATCACACTCAGAAAGAAACATCCGAGTCCCACCACAGTCTCCCGGGCCCCATGTGGCCCTGACTGTGCACCCCCCACCATGCTGCCCGCACCCTCCTCCCCAGCCCTCGAACCAGTCTGCAATTCCTAGAACAAGCCAGAATGCATCTGCCTGGGGAAAGCTCTCTCTCACCCTTACCCTGAGAGCCCACAGCCATCCCTTCACTCGTCCAGTCTTTGCTCAAACATCATTTCCTTGAGAAAGTCATTTCAGGTTACACTGTTTAAAAATTCCTCCCTCTCCATCCTCTTAGGGCACTTTATCTTCCAGTGATATGACCTAATCATATCACATTTATCTGTTTATTATTGTCTGCCCTTCCTAGATGATGCCAGCTCCAGGAAGTCGGGGATTGTCTTCCTCACTGCTGTATTCCTGGCTCCTAGAACGGTGACTGTCACCCAGCAGCTGCTGAGCTAATGGCTGTTGAGTGGACAAACACTCAAGCAACGATGCAATCAGCTTCATGGCCTTTGTTTTGCTGAGGGGCATCTGGAGAGTTGGGACCAGAGGTGAACTGCTCAAGAGAAGAGGGAAGCAGTGAGGACACAGCTGTCCTTGTCCAGTCACCCCCAGGGCAGGCAGCCCCCTCCTCTAAGGCAGAAAATATTGTTTGAAAGGCACTTGTCTTCACCTGTTTTGTGCAGCTGTAACAGAACACCACAGCCTGGGGAATTTATCATGAACAGAAATTTATTGGCTCATGGTTCTAGAGACTGGGAAGTCCAAGATCGAGCAACCAGCATCTGGTGAGGGCCTTCCTGCTACATCAGACATGATGGAAGAGCAAAGAGGGGGTGAGAGATATAAGAGGTGGCCAACCCCTTCTGTGATAATGACATAAATCCATTTACAAAGGTGGTGTTCCCATGACCCAGACACCTGCCATTAGGTCCCACCTCCCAACACTACTGTACTGGGGGTCAAATTTCCAGCACATGAACTTTGGGGAACACATTCAAACCTCAGCAGCACTGTGGCAGACACTGCAGTTCCCTGCCCAACAGCCATTCCCCCCTTTTCCTTGGCAACAGATGCTAAATTTATTCAGGGTTGCATGGTGCCGGCTCACAAAGCTCAGTCTGGGCTCCCTTGCAGCTGGGAATGGCCTATGAAACATGTAGCCAATTAGATGCAATTAGAAGCTGTTGAGATTGGGTGTTTACAGGAAAGCTTGTTAAAAATGATGGACTTGATCTGACACGTCAGTCTCCTTCTTTTTGCCTGGAACTGGAGAGTTGGCCACTCACGTGTCTTGCAAACTTGCTGACACCTACACACATAGGAGAGCAGAATGGAAAGACACACAGAACCTGGGTTTCTGATAGCCCTCTACTATTGGCCTCCAAATTTCTTGGTATGTGAGAAAAGCGATCTATTTGGTTAAGTCACTGTAGCCACTGACAGAGATCTGAACCCAGCCCTGACTAGTTGCTGAGATGCCGGAGTGTTGCGGTTCCTGCCGGGTCCCTGAGTCCCGGGTCAGCCAAATTAGCACAAATTACTGAAGACACCATCTCACAATGCATGAAGGCACTCCAGGGAGGTGGAGGACAACTGAATGATGCCTGAACCAACACATGTGAATGTGTGTGCACGCACGCGCGCGCACACACACACACACACACACACACACACACACACCTATTAGCTCATACAACGCTGAGCTGAGAGAGTTTTGGACAGATAAGAGAGGGTTCCCAAAGAAGTGTGGGGACTGTGACCATGAACTTGCTTTCCCAACAGGAAAATTGTCCAGTCATTCTGAAAGGAGGTGGAGTTGCACGTTGAAAGGGGAAATCTAAAATTCTGAACTGACATGCCTAGCATTTGCACTAAGGCAGCTGTAACCCCTGCGAAGATTCGGGAATCCTGCTCTTCACCAAGATCCAGGGGCAGTGAGCAGCTGTGCTCTTTCAGGCACAGCATACATCTCCACCTGTGTTACCACTGTCAGAAGATGCACCTCCCGTCTGAATTAACAAAAAGCATGAACTGTACTGGCTGGTAGAGACTGAATGTTCACATCCCTCGAAAATCGAATGTTGACACCCTAACCCCCAATGTGACTGTATTTAAAGACAAAGCCCTCCCCTTTTCCCCC